CATGTTTAGTTAGGTTATGGGAGGTGTAGCCTTCTTCTATGGGTGACATTATTGAAGTATTTGGAGGGCGCCGCCATTAGTTGGTGGTTGATTTTAGGTCCAAATGTATTAAAATTTCAGTGCATTCAAAATTTTAAAATATTTAGGCCAATCCAACTAATACCCCGCCAAAAAAATCTATTTTGGTGTATTAAAAATCATACTTAGATACCCTGTAATGGCTTAGTTCGGGGTATTTTGGAATCTAAAAAGTATAATAAATCAGATTTTATGCTTAATTAGGTAACTTGTTGAGTTGAATTCTAGTCATGGGTTTTTATTTATACAAATCGGGTATTATTTATAGGAACAAAAAGTAAAGGGTTGTAGGTACGACAAATTGAATTTAAAGGATGTAAGCCAAATTTACTATAAAACGAATCATACTTAGGTACATTAAAACTTAGCAGAGGCATTCAAATTAAAATTCTATTTAATATGTTGGAAGACTCTAGCTGTTTATTTTAAATTGGTCCCCATTTTTTCAAGCAAACATAAGGCCCAAAATTTCTTCACATCAAGGATCACAAAAATTACATTAATGCCACATGTTCCCAACGCTGCTTGTTAAAATGAAATTATGATTTAGTCCGTTTCAAACTTTTAAGTGCCTGTTTGGTATTGCTTATTTGTGTTAATAAGTGATTTTTAAAAAAATTTAGGAAACCCAACTCGTTTGATAAACTATGAGAAAATCACTTATTGTTAAAAATTGCTGTGAAAGAAAGCTATAAGAGCAAGCATCTAATAAGATGCTTTCATTTTTTGATTATGCATGAATCAGTTTCAAAGAGGCACTATGTTTAATGATTATGCAGGAATTAGTACCAACAACACTTTTAACAAAAAATGTACCAAACACCAAACAGCTTTCTCTCAAAGCTGATTTCTCTCACAGCAAATCTGACAGCAATTCTTTTCACAACACAACAATGCCAAACTGGCCCGAAGATCAATTTTTCAAAAACTTTTTCTTTGTATTAACTAATTTTGTTAACACAATTTTTTTAAATAAAAAAAAAAATTTAAGAAGCCAACCTCTTCAAAAATAAAAACCTCAGATGCCAATATAGGTAATACACAAAGTAATGTGTATGGTTTTTATTTTTATTTTTTGATATAAAGGATCGTCAGAATAGGAGCACAAGCGAATCTAAGTGTGGGCTGGAATGGGCTCTAGGCCAATGCTGAGTTTTTAGAATATACAACTTAGGCTAAGTAGTCCAAGCCCAAACTAGGTGAATCAAATATTAGCCTACACCTCTATGTAGACATAAGCCCACCCTTGTATAATCCCAGCCGTTAGATTGATTGGAATCCATGTGATGTAACTTTAGAACTCGTGTGATGCATTTTTATAATAAAGATAAATACTTTTTAATATAATAAATGTTGTTGATATGTACTCCATATGGCCTCACAACCTCCCAAAGTACGGCCCCACGTGCTCCATAAATGTAATATAATGGATTGTTTATTTTAAAGGAAAATGATAATTTCATTTTTGTCCTGCTCCATTTTGTCTGTTGCAATTCATTGTTTTCTTATAAATTGTTTTTTTTTTCATGAAAAACTTTAAATTATTTACTGGAGATTAAAGATACAATTATAAGCATGAGGTTTTGGTTTTTTTCTCTGTAATTCTTTTTATGCTATAATCTTTCTTCTGCTCAATCCATATTGTTATGATGGTATTAGAGCTCATCTCGATACTTCTATAATTTCTCATATCTTTCTTTCAATTTCTACTTTTTGAAGCTCCGTTCTGAATTTAGGCAAGAAGCCTTTACTAAATTTCTGAACTTTTCAATTTCTCTGAGATTCCTATATGATGATGGTTAACCATAACCACTAGAAAAAACATAACCACCATTATAATAGATATCGCAAAAAAAAAAAAAAAAAAGTAATGCTACACTTACCACATTATTATCCCATATTTCTATACCACATAATGTGGCATATGCCACATCAATTAAATGAATGAAGTGTATTTTAATAAATAAAATGAGAAAAACAAAAACTAGTATTTTACATGATGTGGTATATACACATCAACTGCCACATCATGTGGTATAAAATTGTGGTAAGACTAGTATTATTCAAAAACAAAACCAAAAATTAGCTCACCCCTATAAAAATTCCTAGATCCACCATTGGGTAGGAGGATTTGAAACCTAAGACCTCGAATGCAGGAGTAAATGCTCTTCACCACTTGAGCTACACCCCCTTGCATGTGTATGTCTTTGTTGTTAATAACATGAAACACTCAATTTGATTATATATAGGTAGCACCTAAGTGTTCGATCAATATAGGAGGAAAAAAAAAAAATTTCAACTTAGGTTTTCTTCTCCTCGAACTTTATGTGAATTCCATCCCCAAACCCTAAAATAAGGTTTCGAGCAATGCGTGCCGCCTTGATTGTTGTCCACATATGAACAGAGATTCAATAGATGACTTAGCTTTTTTTTGTGTGGACAAATATGACATAGCTCTGATAAAAACGTTGTAAAACACACAGTAGATTCGTAACTTGTGGTGAGAGAAAAGAAATGTACCTATATTTGGTGACCAAGACACGGAGAAAGGTGGCCAAGAAAACCCTATTATACTCTGCCCCTGCACATTGCCTCATTCCTCCACCAAAAGGCATGAAGTTCTTGGACACAGCATATGAGTCAAGGTCCTAAATTTCATCAAATAAATATAAAGTAAAATTAGCTGCTAAAAATTGAAGTGATTTGAACAAACGACAATGACACTCAGCCCATCCCCGAGACACGAACCTTCCAACGCCATGGATTGAACTCGAGGGGCTCCTCGAATGTGTTGGGACTTAACTGAAGTGCAGAGGTGACAATCATAATGGTCCAGCCTTCTGGAATTGTAAATCCTGCAAAGCATTTACTGGAAACATTTCAGTAAGAATCCATTTGCTGTTAGAAACAAAAGGCCTAAGCTATTTGTAATTGAGGACTTACCCTTTACTGGGATATCTTTCAAAGCTCTACGAAATAAGCCAGGGGCAACATTTCCCAGCCTAAAAATTTCTTTGATAACCTATATGTTTTCCGAAGACCAGCAAATTATAAGTCTTTTTCAAAGCTGTTGTGCAAGGAAGAAAGAAATGCTTGTTGAGATTTGGGAACTAACCTGAAGAGTAAGTCATTGATTTATATTCGTCCCATGTGAGTGAGGAATTTGGATTTTCCCTGTTTTTGAGAATTGCCTCATGCTCAGCCTGACCATAAAAGATAATTGATCATTAGGGTCTTAAACAGAGGAGTTATGAAAATGAATTGAAGCTCAAACTTTCTCTACGTACCGTCAACTCTTGTACAACTGAAGGATGCTCTGCCAGTAAACTGAAAGCTAATGCTATTACTGCAGAAATAGACTCAAAGGTGGCAAACAAGCCCCCAAATACAGCTGAACTGAAAAATCCTCTGACAAAAATTTCTCCTTTTCCATGTCAACGTTGATTTGATCAAGGAAATCTCCTCTCCGTGTCTCAGGTGAAATCCGTCTCTCCTTTAGCATATCCCTCAACATGGTTGTTACGTTCTTTTGGTGCTGAATGAATACCAAGACATTAAATTTTTGTAAAATCTCATTCGTAGGAGACAAACTTGTTGCTAGTTATAATATGCCAATTTGAATATCACCTTCGAACAATTATAGTAGGCTGTACCAGGGATGTTCAAGGGAAAGGACATAAGACCGTCTATGATTTTAGTATATTTCTCACTCAGGTCATCAGATGATTTTTCTGCATCATAACTGATCATCTGCTTCGCGCTAAAATTAAAAACCATCTGCAATGGCGAGAAAAGTTTTGTTAAGTATGACAAGAGCAGCAGCAGAAAAAAGCAGTACTGAAAAATAAAATAAGTGATTAAGATTTAAGTGGGGTTGAAATTTATAACTGAGCCTGCATGCTCCACTTCAACAGAGGCCTTACTTGACCAGGCACATAGACTTTTGTTGACGAATTCTTCTATTTGAGGGAGCAGCTTCTCCTTAAGCCTCTCAGCACCAAAGTGATTCAAGAAAATGCTCCTTACATACTTGTGAACCATACCAACTGCGTTCGTCTTAGATTCGCCTTCATGGACGAAGATCTTCGAAAACATGTCCAAGTACCACAGTTCCACCATCCTCTCTTCTTGCTGAAATATGTAGTTATTGAACTCAGGATCAGCTGTGATTACGACCTGTCTACCCGCCAAACTAGTCCGAAATATTGGTCCATATCTGCAAGGCAAAGAAAAGAACATCTTGACTGAACTAGGCAGGTAACTTGATATATCAAACTCCACTTGTTTTATTGACAGTCTAACAACATAACATAATAAAATATAAACTCGATTGTACATATCAATGTTTTAAAAGGCGAGGCGTATATGCGAGGCGTTTTTAGTAGCGCTATGTGAGGCGTAAGCTGCACGCCTACGCAATCTACAAGAAGAAAGACCAAAAGCTCCTACAATCGGCCTATCCGGCCGAAAAGAGGGAAACAATAATACAACTAAATTGTAGTACTAATTCATATTGAAAAATATTTATTCAACATCGAAAGAAAAACTCAATTCATTCATCCCACCCCACAGAGGCAAAAGAGTTTAATAGAAACTTTATAAAACTAGGGAGAAGAGGAACAAAAGAGTGGACAAGAATATCGGGTAAGGGTTATAACTAATAATCTTATGCGGCCAGGTTATCCTTCAGGTCCAACTTGGGAATAATATTAATGTTATAGTATATAATATATATAGGTCCAGTTTATAGTTGGGGAGTCAAAATGTGCGTTTAACTTAAACTCAAGAAACCAAAACCTTAAAACGAAGTCGTTTCATTGAAGAAAACCTAGTACCACAGTTCCACCATCCTCTCTTCTTGCTGAAATATGTAGTTATTGAACTCTGGATCAGCTGTGATTACAACCTGTCTACCCGCCAAACTAGTCCGAAATATTGGTCCATATCTGCAAGGCAAAGAAAAGAACATCTTGACTGAACCAGGCAGGTAACTTGGTATATATCAAACTCCACTTTTTTTATTGACAGTCTAAATACATAACATAATAAAATATAAACTCGATTGTACATATTATACTTGTACCTCAGTTGAAAGGCTTTGTTTGTCTTCTACTACAACTTTCCATTTCCCTTTGGAGCTGAAAGGCTCTCCAGAGCCACCCCACAAGCTCCAAGCTTGCATCTCATCCTCAGAGTGGCCTTCATACTCAATCCCACACACTTTGGTGTTGAATTTGAGATGCTTAAGCAAGTCAAAATGGTGAGCATATGATTTGATGTAATCCAAAACCTGATGTTGGTTAGGAAAGTCCTCTGTCACAGAAGATGGCCATGGGAAATCTGAGAATCGGTAAGCTTCTCTAGGAGTTTGGAGCTTGGTGGTCTCAATAGTTTTGGTCCAAACTCCTCCAATGGTGCTTGCAGATTCAAACACAATGGGCTGAAAGCCCTTTGAAAGTGTGTACTTGCAGGCAAGAAGGCCACTAGTTCCAGCTCCTATAATGGCCACTTTCTTTCCCATTCTGATCTAAGAAGTGTGTTTGCTGCTGCTATGATCAGTCTTTGTATGCTTATGTAAATATAAGCAGACAATTACATGTTATAATCAATAATATATTATATATCCGGGTTCGGATATCTGTATGAGTTTCCTAGAGATTTCAGATAGGATTCGGATTAATATAAATAAATAAATAAAAATTTCCTTTGAACTTCATCTTCAATGTGTAGTATATAAAGGGAGTGCATAAGCCACCATTCCCACCCTTATCCCTGCCACCCAGGCCACCATACAAGCCACCATTTCTCTTTGTCTTGTCTCTATCTCTCCTATCACAGATCTACCCCTACAACCATGAAATAAATAGGTGTCAATACAAATGCAAAATACAAATCAAACTGGTTCTCCAAATTGTTGAATGTAGGGATATATTTTTTTGGTAAATTGATTATATTGAGAAGGGGCGATGAGTCATGTTTATTCAAAGGATATTCCATTTTGATCTTCCATATAACACTTTTTCATGTACATTGAAGGTTATGGGTAATTTTTGTGGATTTTTCCTTTATTTTTTATTTAAACAATAAAAGACTTGTTAACTTTAAACACTTCTTTTTATGAAAAAAGAAAAAAAGAAAAAAGAATTTAATACTTATGTTGTTGATGTGTCATATTTTAAACGGATAGATTAATAGAAAGGTACAGATATTACAAAATGCAAATAAATGCACAACCTCTAAATATAGAGGCTCGAAATCTAGAACAATAATATTAAAACTACAAAGAAAACAACGATAGATATACACATGATGTGCTACCAAAAAGAAAAAATCATATCATAAGGTTTTTAATGGATCCAACTATTCACACATGTATTTCTGTGCTTACTTTTTTTATTCTCATCAAATAATATAAGTCTTTTGACTTGAGATCTTATTATGATGCGACATAATTTTTTTTTTTTTTTGGTTTTCAATTGAAAAAGGGGGTAAACCCCAAAGAACAACAAAACAAGATGGGACATATAATTTGATATGCATGAGATGAATATTAGGTCTTGTCCTAGTCCAAAAATTCAAAAAGGTTAGCCGGAATTAAAAAAGTGGAAGTAAACTTGGGAAGATGGTTGGTATGCTCGATTTTCCAAACCCAACATTAAATTCGACTATGAAAAAATATTGAGATTTTCTATTTAAACCCCACACTTCTCTTAGTTCACCCCATGTTCTAAGTTCACCCCAACTTTTAATTTAAATTTTCACAATTTCTAAGAAAACCCCACTATCTTCCCAAACTACCCTTAAATACACCCCAAACTAAAAAAATAAAAACTAAAAGAGATTTTTTATTTAAATCCCACAATTTTCTTTGTTCTCAACAAAAAAAAAAACACAAACAAATGAAACCACAAATCAGAAATTTAATATTTTCTAGAGAAAGAGAACAACTTTACCTCTCTCCAAGAACTGTAACTGAAATTCTAACACTTTGGTATTTTTGAGTTGAGAGAGAGAGAGAGAGAGAGAGAGTTTGTAAACATGAAGTTGGAAGGAGGTTTTTAAAACTTAATATAAAGAGTGGTGGGGTGTGTGTATAGATGTACTAGGGTTAATTATTAAGTTGGATGACCTTTTTTGTCTTTTTATACAATAATAAAACTTACAGCTTAATTATTTAAGTATTGGGGTGAACAAAGAGAAGTGCGGGGTTTAAATAGAAAATCTCAAAATATTTGTTCAATTAACCAATTTTTTTAACTATATAACGTCACCTGAAAAGATTCGGATGAGATTGTACTTTGCTTTACATATCTGGCCTTGCAAAAAAAAAACAAAAATTTGTCATATGTTGTTGACTATGCTGTACATGCTTATATTGGTATTCTCTTAAAAAAAAACTTAAACTAATTAAGAAATATTATCCTTTTTGGGGGTCAAATACTAAGAAAATGATGATGATGGTTCGTGTCCACCATTCAGATTTGGAAAAACATAACATGGCAGACAGGCTCACCAGATTTGATGTAGATTTTTTAGGCTGGATATTCAAAGATTGATGATGATCATAATAATACCAAAAACAGTAATGGCTTCGGTCAAAATGGACGGCCCGATGGAATTTAATTTCGTCTGCCAGACATACACGCGGCTTCAATCTGAGAACTTATCTCCAGACAGAGTGATGTTGAAAAGTGGGGAAAGCCTGTTAATCTTCATCCATTAAGTCAATTTCTCTAATACCCGACAGATTATCCATGAAGTTAATTTCTAACTTTTATTTGTTAGCTTAATTTACTGTATATTTCACAACCACCCGCCGAACTGTTCGTGGGGCCTTCAGTAGATGGCTCGAGGAGGCTGGGTTCAAGTAGAGGGAGTCGTTCTATGTTGAGTGTCGCGATATATGGACCTTACATGTGTACTGACAGTCCTCATTATAGAATTTCGCTGAGTAGGTGTGGCAACGAGGCATGAACCTGGAACGGGTCCTTGAGAACTCTTCTTCACTTTTCTTGGGCTTGCATAAAATCTCCTTACATCCTTTTATTTTTTATTTTTCATGTTATGTTATGTTTTCTCATAACTTCACATATTAGTCACATGATCAATTATCACAATAAGGAAGTTGAAGACGTGAAGTAAACCTAGGCTTAGTAATAGTAGCCTACATGTTGCTGTTTTTTGATAGGATCCTAAGGGCTCTTTAGGCTTTTGAAATTTGGCCAGTTGTCATTGTATGACTGGTTATGTTAAGAGATATGTGCATTGGGTAAAGGTTGAACAGGGTTTTAATACTTTTACGTAATATATGGGAAATTTCATGACGTATTATCATCGTTTACTGTAATAAACTCTGCAAACTCATGAAGCTCCCAATGTTTGAGGAATTATTTGAAACCCTAGAGTCAGATTCAAGTTTCAACAAGATTGATGAGTCTAAATATTTGTTTTTGGCTTTTCCAATTAGACAATTTTATAGCTGCATATTCAAGAATAACATCTGAACAAGATGAAGAAAAAATAATCTCAGCTTTTCTTCTCTTCAAGTTTGATGTGAATGCCATCCCCAAATCCTAACATGGGATTTCGAGCAATGCGTGCCCCTTTGATCATTGTCCACCTATTAACAGAAATTCAAACGATGGTTGGTCAAGATCTGTCAAGAACTGCAGATACAATTTTTGTAACTTGAGATCCAAATGAGATAAAACAAGAGGGCAAAGAAATGTGTTAAGTTTTTGATGTGGAAGTGTGTGTATTCTTTAACACTCTATTTCACATGGGACTACTTTTTAGTGGGCTACACGTGCAACCAATTTCACATCGGTCACTTTTTATATACATTTTTTATTTAATTTTAATTTGGGGTTTTGTTTGATTTAGATTTAATTGGGCCAAGTCAACCGGCCCGCTTTAATACCATGTTAAGATTTCAAATAAACAAACTCTTGACCCACCACTAGTAACATCGATATTGTCTCCAACTTAACCACCTGTTTAGCAGGTGTGAGGTTTTATACAAAAAACCTCGACTTTATTAAGAGTTGAGCCATTTATTATATGAGACTTTCTATGTTCAACTTTCCAATGTGAGGCTTTTTACCTTCACATTCTCACACGCTCCTGCACATGTGATGAATTTTCAAGCCTATTACGTGGACAATACATATTGAGTGACGTGGAGTATGTGTGACCGTTAGGCTTTCACATGTGGACTCACCTAACTCTGATATCTTGAAGGAAGTTGAGGTTCCCCCTATTGCCAATTAGGTTCCCCCCATGGTATCGAAAAATTCACCCTTCATTTGAACTTCATCTCATCGATTGGTTTGTTGGTTGAGAAATTTTTCATCATTTGTAGAGCATTGGACTGAGAGATCTTCCATCTTTGTTAAAGAAGAGAGAAATCAAACCTAGGACCTTTGGAGTAAATACTCGTATTCAAACAAATGAATATGAACAAAATATATTGGTCCAATCCAAGGTATTTTTATTAAAAAAATTTACAAATTTTATGAGTTATATTAATACTTTCATATTGTGGATTCCTTAATATGCATTGGCAGTTAAAAAAGGTAAACTTAAAATTTGTTATTTATTATATCAAAAGAAACAAGGAGGCTGAATCCCCAAACAACCATATAGAACCAATGTTTTCAAAGGCATGTGTAGGCGCGCGTTAGAGTGCGCATCGAAGCGAGGCAATAGCAAATCGCCTAAGGCGTATGCTTATTTAGCTGTTTGCACGCTTAGCGTGCGCGTCGACTGCAAAGCGTACAGAGGCGTTGTGAAGCGCTGGGTCGGTGAAGCACCGCTATGTGGGTCGGCGAAGCACATCTGCCCGAAGAGGATGACCGTGTGTATCTTTTTTAGGTTTTTTTTTTCAATGGAAAGGCGTCGTTGCATAGTCCAAAACTAAGTTGAACGCCGCGTTTTGATTTTAACGCATCCCTTTATAAGGAGTGTGTGTTTGATAAGCATCCAAATCATTTTTTTACTTTTTATTATTTTTAACAATATTTACTTTTTATTATTTTTAATAATATATTTAACATACATACCCATATCTAGCTCTCTCTTTTTGGGCCTAACCTATATGTATATCCCTAATGCGATACTTCCCTTTTTTTTTCCTTCTAAATAAATACATTAATAGACCTATGTATATCCCTAATGTGATAATCTGCATCAATTTTAATTTTAGATATTTAGTGATATACCCATTCTTAGCACTAATATTATAAATAAACCCTACACCATTGAATTTCTATAAACAAACCCAAAAAAAAACCCAAAAAATGATAACTGATCCTAATGAATTTACGTTTGATTATTAAATTACTTTGATACCCTATTGAGTATTTTGGGTTTTTTATTATAAGGTTTTGGGGTTGGGCTTGTTTTAAGAAATTGATGGCAATTTTGTAATTTATAAGAAGTTAAAAGCCTCTTTGTTACGTTGTAAATGAGTTTTGGGTGTGTTTCTAAAGTTTATTTCATATAGAGTATTTTTATAATTTG